CGCCATTATCATCATCATCGTTTGCAGGAGCGCATCCAGCAGCGAGAGCAGGAGCTCCGGGAAGCCGAGGGTCATCAACGCCTCCCAGCGCGACACAGCCCCAGCCCTGATGACGATGAGCAGCACGTTTCTCCGTCCCGGTGTCGTGTGCGCCACGTCAGCTGCATAAAAAATCCCAAAAATGCAGCCACCAAGACCCGAAAGAGCGCACGAAGAAGGATTCAGCTCGATTGTGTCACACATATACTGATGGAGGACGGCCTCTCCTCCCCCAAAGGGCGCGGTCCCGTCTCTCTCCTCACGTAACACTCCCTTCCCATTCTCCCATTATGATCCCCCCCAAATCCCGCTCGAGATCACTAAAACGAGGAGGTGGGCGGACCGCCAGGTGGCCAGCCCTTCTGCTGGTGGCGGCCAAGTGCGGGCGAGCCCTCACCGCCCACACGTCCTACCAGGTACGCCTAGTGCAGTACCCCCCCCCCAACCACCCGTGGTGGTCCTTATTCGGGTCCTTTTCGCTCCAATTTTTATTTGGCGCCCCCTCCCCACCATCGGGTGGTGGTGTAGCGAAGCTCTCGTTTGGTGACAAGAGAACGCTCTCGCTCTCTCTCATTTGTTGGGGGGGGGGCTTTGCGCGCGTGCACGCATGGCACGGCATGTGGGGGCGGGGATGTGTGTAGTTCGTGGGCGGTGCTGGGCAGGTGCCGGTGGTGGTGTGGGCGTGCCTGCTGCTGTTCGCCGCCTCCCTCTTCTACGTCCTCCGCCAGCCGTGGAAGGACGGCAAGAAGCGCCTCCGCACCAAGCTGGTACCTAGCCCGCTGCTCTGCACTTGGCCTCCTCGCCTCCGCTCTCCGTGCTTATTTCCCTCCTCCTCCTCCTCCTTTCCTTTTCCTTGGCCCGCAGTGGGCGCGGATTGGATTCAACGCGGGCCTCTACGCCCTCGAGCTCGTGCTCTGGCACCACTGCCTCAGCCTCTACGGACCCGTGCGGTACGGACGCACACCGCACACGCGCACACCGCACGCATCTCTGCGTGTGCGCACGATGGCGGCAGGTCTCTGACGGCCCCTCCCCCCATCCACCGATGTGCAGGACGCTGCTGGTGGTGGACTACGGAGACGTGCTGCTGGCACCCCTCTTCAACCCGCGGCAGGGCTCCTCCTCCGGCGGCGGCGCGTCGTCAGGGAAGCGTGGCGCCCGCATGCAGGGCTCGCTCCTGGTCCTCCTCGCCTACGCCCTCCTCTTCGCCTTCGACGCGCCCGTCTCCGGCTTCGCTGGTACCGATAACCCACGTGAACACGCTTCCCTCTCGTGTCGCAGTTCCATCCTCCTCCTCCTGGCGACTCTGTTGTTGACCACCTGACCGCATACAGAGGAGTGGGGTCTGGTGGACAAACTCTACGGAGCGGGCGTGGTGGCCGCCGCCATCGCTGTCGCCTTCGCGCGGAAGCGATACCACCGAAAGCTCGCCGTGCAGGTCTTAACACCACCCACTGCTGCAATCGCGCTCTCTCTCTCTCTCTCTCTCTCCTCACACACACGACACACACGACACACACGACACACACGACACACACGACACACACATTGGTACTGACGGGTGTGCCAACTCTGCGCGGAGCAGGTGGGCTCGGCCAAGCGTCTGACGGCCCTCTCCGTGATGATGGGCGCCGCCATCCTCGTCCCCTTCGCCCTCTACGCCTACGCGTTCCAGGCCACGACCGGGCAGGAGGGAGAGGGAGGGAGCGCGAGCATCAACATCAACTCGAGCGGCGGCAGCAGCGAGGGGTCGTCGAGCGGCTTCGGCCTATGGGTCGCCGTGGGCCTCGCGGCCGCCCTCTTCGTGGTCGGCGACTCGTGGGCGGAGCACGTCGTGCGCTCCCGCCTGCCCTCCCCCGCCCTCGCCACCAAGCTCGGCCTTGCCGGGTATATCACCCCCCCGCCTGCCCGTCAATCGCACGCACGCACGTGAGGTGGGCTAATCGGATTGCGGGGCGACCACCAGGGCGGTGGCGTGTGCGACGGTGGCGGGCTGGCTGTGGCCTCCCACCAGCCTCTCCCTCGTCACGTTCGCGGTGGCGGCCCTCGTCATGTTCGGTACCCTTCCCCCATCCGCCCCCTTGTCGTCGTCGTCGTCGTCATGCATCATCATCATCGCCTGACGGTCATCGTCGCTTTCCATGTACGCGCGTGTGGGTGGTGGCGTGGTGGTGCAGGGGCGCACATGCGATTCCAGGGCGAGCAGGAGACCTCCGTCCAGCACTCCATGTTCGCGGCGGAGGGCGCCGACGAGGGCCTTCCCACCGAGGCCTTCTCCGGCTCCCATGGTACCCTACGTCACCCCCCATCTCCCATCCCCCAATCCGTCAGCACACATGCCACGTTGGGATGTCATGCATGCGTGCGTGTGTGCTTGTATGTAATGTATGTAATGTATGTAATGTATGGTATGTATGTAATGTATGTATGATCCTAATCAGTGGGTGGTCGGCGGTGGTGGGTCTAGGCGGGGGTCAGCTGTGGCCGTTCTTCAAGAACACGCTGCGGGAGATCCTGGCCAACAGCGAGTCGCGCAGCATCTTCCTGTTCCTGGTCATCAACCTGGCCTTCATGGGCGTCGAGGTGGCCTACGGCTACTGGACCAACTCCCTCGTACGTCGGCCACGCCACGCGCCACGCCCACGCCCACACTCACTCATTCACTCGCGTGGGCGGGACGGAATGGTGCGGGATGGTGCAGGGTCTGATCTCGGACGGGTTCCACATGCTGTTCGACTGCACGGCCCTCTTCATCGGCCTCTACGCGTCCGTCATCTC